TGGTTCCTAACACTGTATGTGGTGGTTCTTTAATAGTGTAAGGGAACTATTTCTTGAATATTTTTTATTATCTGAAATGATAATGCAGCGATGGTATGTGATTATCATTGACTTTCTAAAGACCTTTTGTGTGGAAATTTACAAATACACAGCAAAGTTAAAAAAAACACTATCGAAGGTGAGCAATATGAATTTTATTCCAGACACTGTGAGTGTTGTTATGGGAGCCATGGATTTTTATTGCAGCACTTCAGAGTGTGCCGATTTTTGTTTTTGGTTGTATGCCCACTGCATACTCCATGTCAGCAAGTAATTCCAGTCTCAGTTCAATGAAACCTCAATTGGGTTCCTTGGAATCTTCCCTGAGCATAAGTGGTGCAGGAACCAGCCACAGACCATTGCAGAGTTTCTAAGTGCAGATCAGGGGCAATCCTCTCCTTCCACAACTCTGCTTGCACTTGCCATTGGCTCTAGCCCTCAAGTGTCAACTTAGTCTTGATGTCACGCAGTCTGTTGAGTTCCACTTTAAGTTCTAGTTGCCCTGAATAGTGCCAACTGAGTGCCTACCCTCAAGCCCAAGCCATAAAAACTAAAATGGTCACTCGTGCTGTTTCCCTCCATCAGATTCCAACTTTCTTCCAGAATCTTGCTGCCGTTATGCATTATGTGGATCCTTCTGGGTTTGTTTTGCTGTTTTACTTGTCTAGAGTACAAAGGCATTCTCTGTAAGGACCTCTGTGTGCTTACATGACCACAACAGTATTCACAAACTGCTAGCAAAGAAGTGAGAGTTTTAGCAAATCTCCTTTTTTTCTAAACTATTTCATAATTTAGTGGCTGAAATAATAACCCATGTTTCTCAGTCAGCTCATGCTTCTTGGCCCAGAAGCTTCTACCTTCTGGAGGTAGACAGGCCTACTTTGGTCACCTCTTGTTTTCTAGAACACAGTATAAGACTTAACCACACAGCTGTTGTGAATAAAAGTTTGACCCACTCCGTAGATAAAGATGTCAATAAGTTTGGACATATTTGGAGCAGGGAAATTTAGATTTGAATTTCAGTTCTGCTAGATCATTTTGTGTTAACTTAAAATGTCAGCTAGGCTTTACTTCCATTGTACCACATATAAATTGGTCTTCTCACACCCAATGTTCTCGTGATACTTATATCAATGGAGATCAAGTAACAGAATTCAAAGCAGCATAAATATAAATTCTTGTTATTTTTAGGCAAACTTTTCAATTAGAGACATATGTCAAGGATAAGTTGAAGTTTATCCGGAGACATGTATCCAGAGAATACTGGATACAGGCTTTGTTTAGCAACGTGGAGTAAATCACTGTAAGTCAATAAAGCAACTGGCAGAACACTGCTACTCATTCAGAAATACTTGAAGCAAATGGGAAAGTAACATTGAAGTCACTAAAGGAAAAGTCTTAGATTAAACATTGGTCTGTTAGAATCTAATAAACCACAAAAGCAACTCCTATGTTGTCCCAGGTACTCGTAGAGAAGTTTGGGAGTGTGAAGAGTCATCCTGGTGAGTATAATCTACGCACACAATAACAGGAGTGGAACCATCTATGAAAGATCTTGTACCAAACTGCCATGATGCAGTTCCAATTGTATTTTCACATCATGTAATTCAGATGTATAATTATACACAATTCCCACATTATTTTATATGTGAGGAAATTGGAGATGTCCAAGGTCCTTTGCTTCCAGTCCAGAGTACACTGAGTTGAATTCAATCCTGTTTCCTTCAGAACCACACACCTAGGAGACATTCCATGCATCTTACTCGAAGGAAATTGCAGAACAAGTTTCAATTTTTAACATGCGTTAGGAAACTCAGAGTTTTACTTGTTTCAATAGTGTATTTCTGGTGATAAACATCTTCAAATTGTTTAAAATATAAATATAATTGGGATAGTTTGGTGGCCCAAATGGTTAAGTTGTAGGAGTTTTAAAACATAAGCTGGAGGACTGGGGAAATGGTTCAGTAATCAAACCCTTTGCATGCAAGCAACAGGGCAGAAGCTAGAACCCTAAGTAAATGCTGAGTGGGTGAGACAAGTCACCTGTAAGCTCAGCCTTTAAAGATGAAGATAGAGGAAGGGGATAAAGAGAGCACACTGGCAGGAGAGACTAGTTGTAGCACTGAGCTTGGGCTTGATTGAGAGACTTTGCCTCAAAAATATAGGTGGAAGGGTAGAGAAAAAAAGAATAAACAAACAACAACAAAAAATAATTACGTCAGTCTTGGGCTTCCATACACCCACACAGGCAAAGATGAATGCATATCCCCACACATGTGCAAATGGAAAAAAATATAATAGAAACAGAAGTGATTGAGAATACTCTTAACTTAATGCTCTTGACTTTGTACAAAACTGTGTCACTAGTAATGCTTCAGAAAAAGTCCAACTATTGTTTTCATTTCAGCAAAAAGTGACATTTTGGTGCAATTTTTGAAAGTGATAAAATTTTCTATGAATTCAATGGAATCAGCCAACAGAGTGAACAACCCAGCTGTAATGATTGGCCTTCCCAAAGCCAGGACAGTGAAAAGGGAGGATGATGAGGATGATGGGGTAGGAATATAGGGAAGAATATCAGGGTGCATGTAATCTGAGGGAGAAGTAAAAAAACATGGGGGAAGGCTAGGCTTGAAGTGCAAAGAAAGTACAGAAGGGGAGTATATTAGATAATTATAATAAATTATTATATAATATGCTATTATATTATTGCGTCTCCTAGAAGAGGCAGAAGCTACACACATGAAGTCTCAGCAACATGGCTGCCTGAGCATCACTTAAGCAAGGATAACACCAATAGACCTGGTCATGTGAAAGGAGCGAAGCTCAGGAGACCTCAGCCCTAGGCAGAGCCCTACAGTGAACTAAGGAATGCTGCGAGAGGGAGAGATAGTCATCCTCAGGGAAGTAGACACCAGTTTGTTATCTAATACCAAGTGGTCCGCTGTACAGGGGTGTGTGTGTGTGTGTGTGTGTGTGTGTGTGTGTGTGTCTGTGTGTCTCTCGCTCTGTGTATGTGTCTCTCTGTGAGTGTATGTGTGTGTGTGTGTAAAACAATATTTAATGAAAAATAGGAATGTGAATTTTAAAAGAAGAGCTATTAGGAGTATATGGGAGGGTCTGAAGGGCAGAAAAGGAAGGGAGGAATGATGCAATTATATTGTAATCTCATAATATAAATTATTAAAATAAAAATAGGAAGGACCTGGTTACAAAAAAACACTCCAATCTTTACCATCTTCAAAAGTTGTAATTTTTTATTTCTAACTTTATAGATCTGAAAAAAGCAATAACGTATTTTAGGACGTGCACTTGAAAACATGTTTTCAATCTGTAACTGTCAAAAATAGAAAACTCAAATGAAAAATATTTTATTACTTTGAATTTTTGAAGAAATTAAGTGGAAACAAAATATATTTTTTATAATCTCAATGAGAATTCACACTGTATACCTGTCTTCCTAGTTTTCTTTGTTTAAGAGTTGATTTTCTCATGAAAGGATGTGTTAAACTTGAATGTGAAGTCCCCCGAATCTTGCTAAGCTTTTCCTTGGCTATTGGTTATAGCCCCTAAAATGAATCTGTATTCAATTGAATAGACTACATAGTAGCAGGTACTTGGGGTCATGAGCTTCTTGCCTACAATGTGTATTTGTAAGGGGATATTTCTAAATTACACCACATCACATCACTGCAACATTTTTATGTATTTGAACTCTAAAATAATCTAGTCAATTTTCATTATCCTTTCTTGAATACTAAAGACATTTAAGCATTTCTAGGATGCGGTACTATATTAATTACTTTCATCGTTGATATGAGCAATTCCTATCAAATGCAGTTCAACTAAGGAAGAGTTCATATGGACTCCATTTAAGAGGGATATTGTCTGTCAGGACAGACAGGCTTGGTGTGAGAACAGTCATTCTAGGTCTGCAGGCAGAGAGGAACCAGAGAGCTGTGCCCATAAGGTTTCTTTTCTTCATCCTATTCCATGGTATGGTGCCACCTATATTCAGGGTGGTATTTCCTCTTCAGTTAGACTTCTCTATAAATGCCCTCAAATATACACCCAGAGGTATGATTTCTAGGTCATCAGGCAGGTCAACAAGGAAGATTATCATTAAAGACATGAACATAATGAGACCAACTTTGTGAAAAATGCTCTAAGTGTGCTAGAAATATCAGCAACAAAAAACACAGACACATACACACACAGAGATACATAGTTACCTATATACACACACAAATAAAGATAACTTCAAGTAATATCACCATCAACATCAGCAGGTACTTATGAATCTAATTATAATTGAAACATCTTGTTTCAAAGATGAAACATAAAATTCTTACTTTCAGTTTGATATATAGCTTTGAATTTCCATGTACTGGTATGATCTCTTTAAAATTTAACTCTTGGGACTGTAAATAAAATTAATAATATGCAAAACACATTTTTAATATTACAGATAAATTTTAGATTCTGCTGTACTTTCAATTTTGAAAAAATTTCTATCTGCTTTTCTAGAATAGCCCACAGGAAGATTCTGCATTGCTTCAGTAGACTGTTGGTCTTAGACAAGTGTTGAAAATGTTGCAATGTGTAGAACCTGAGGCTTACAATGTATATTTAAGCATTTTGAGGCAGATGTAAGAGAGTAAACAGAGAAAGGAGGGAGGGGATGAACATGTCCCTTGCTAGCAAAGAAGTATGTAGGTGTCTCAATATCTAGACATTTATGTTTTTGTCTACCTACCTGCCTGAAGATATAAAAATGCAGAAAATATAAGCATTACCAGTGGTTGATAACAATAAAAAATAGACATAATTTCATATTCTGAATATAATCACTAGTAATACTTATCCCAACCATGCTTCCTTTTGCTTGTAGAATGAACAGAAAAGAAACCAAATCTCATAGCCTGAAGCATACTAGAGAAAATACTGCCATTACATTGTCCAAACTACTGAATACAATACAAGTAAGTAGTCACTCAACAATGTCAGAAGAATAAAAAAGTATTTATTATTTTAAAAAGATAGAAGGGGGTGCCCTTTATTGAGTATTTTGTCCATCTTTGTGTATTGCTTTTAGTGGCCATTCTGTCAACACTTTGACCTAGACTAAGGATTGGAAATATTGTGGGAATTTCATGTTAGCAAACCTGGAAAATTGTAACAAGTCATTTGTCTCCCAAAGGCTAATATAATAAACTTTATTGCTCTTTTGGGCACATGCTCATTTAATAGAGATGGTGAAGACTGTAGAGTTGGAAACTGGAAAACAGGAATTCATTTGAACAAAAAAGAAAGAGAGAGAGAGAGAGAGAGAAAAAAAAGAAAGAAAGAAAGAAAGAAAGAAAGAAAGAAAGAAAAGCATCCCTTAAAAATAAGCTTTAGGAGATAGACTCTTCTTGTAACCAGATCCAAGTTTCAGTGTTATTCCGCATTCCAGTTTTCCCACAGCTGAGGTCATTTTTCATCTTTCAGATCTGAGCATAAACTTCTAAGATGCTACTTATGAAAACTAGTTTCTTTGCTCCTGTCGTCCTTCCATACTTCATCAAACATAAAAGCAGCAGATGGACTAGAGACTTAAATTCGTAGACTTGAAATGTAGCAGTAAGAGTTGAAGGGTCCAAATGACTGCGTGCCGTGTTGTGGAGCACAGTAACGCCTTGATTAAAAGCCAATCTAAATTTTCAGCCAAACATTAACAAATGCTTCCAAATGATAAAAGGTATAATTTTTAAAAGTATTAATAACTAAATGACACCAATATCAACCAACAAGTAACTTTCTATGATAATTATTGACTTTAATAAAAAATTTTCCCACTTAGAAATAGTTTTATTTGCAATTTCTCAAACTGAACCAATAATAACAGTGCCTCTGAACATGTTCAGAAAGTTTATATGTGTGTTCCACATTATAAGCATTTTGCTACTTACATTTTTCACTTCATTTCTGATTCTAGCACGATTAATAAAAACCCAGAAATAGACAATGGGGCTCAGTCTAAGGTCAGAAAAGCAAAACAGCCAGTTACCGGCTCCTACCTCTACCTCTGTTGAAAACAGTGATACTGCCTCCAGGAATCTCAGAATGAGACAGAGAGTGAGTTGTCTTATGTTCCTCTCTAAGATACGGATTAAAGGCATACACCACTACCACCCAGTTTCTATGGCAACTAGTGTGGCTTCTGAGATTAAAGGTGTGTGTCACCACTGACCAGTGGGATTGTTTTACTCTCATCTTCAGGCAAGCTTTATTTATTAAAATAAAAAATGAAATATCACTACATTTTCCCTTTTAGTCTAAAATAAAAAGGTTATAACTAATAGAAGACTATATACAATAAGTACAATGATTATATCCAATTTATGCAGGCAATAAATACATCAACAAGCCTATTTGCATTTGATAAATTCAGAGAAAATATTCCATAACTATTCTATCTTGGTGAGTCCAAAGTCTTGTACCTAATTCAATTTCTATCATAACTTGCTTTCTGCATTAGGTAAACAAGGAAAACTGTAGCTATAACTATCTAGTCTTCAACTCCCTCAGAGAACCAAGAGGGAAATAATATTAGCAGAGTGAGTAGGAAGTGTAAGCAAACGACATCCCAAAAATGTGAGAAATGACAAAAACAGCTGACTGCCTGGACAGTCACCCAAAGTTCCTCTGCAACATTGGGGCATCCATCTTTGGCCTACATACCTAATATATCTGACACTTTTCTGTAAAGCAGGATATTTCAAAGGGCTTCCCTTCCTTCTCTTGACAATGTATGACAGTCACTTTTGTTGTGTCCTGATTATCCAATTAGGACAACATACTGTCAGCAATTGAGGCAAGGGTATTTTCTTGCCCAGTGGTTTACTTTTACCACAAAGAAAGTAAACTACATTGGAGTTTCTTAGATGCTGTTATCTTCTTTGAAGTAGACTGGTGTTGCCAGAAGCAGACATGTCTCATTGTCATTAAAATGAGCCTATGCTATTAAAATATCTTAAATGCCATATTCTGTAGATCTGTGAAGTGTTTGGAGTTGACCTGTCTATAAAATATATCTTTGTTTGACCTTAAAAAGATACCTAATGTGACTACATTAGATTATAATAGGTGACTAATTGCTAAGCTATATTTCCTTATTATCCTAAACAGTTGGTAATAATAACTTTCAAGGATCCACAAGTTGCGTTACATTTTTGAAAGTATAACATTATTTTTATTATTGTGTGTTTATACAAAGAACATAAAACCATATTAGAGAGTAAATAATAGTATAAACATAACAGAAATTAATTTGAAACTTAAATTTTTCTACTAACAAAGAAATGCTGATTTTGAAGACTTTGGATTCCGCCTCAGCCATGTCAGAGTCTTTTGTTGGTGCCACAAAGAGAAGGTTGCAGGGTGCCAGAGTCTATATAGATGCTGTACTCATTACAGTACTGGAGAAAGCAAGACTTGGCAGTAATGGGTTTGGCCCGGATGATCTTCTCTTTAGTGAATTTGCGTGAATTAATGCAGCTTTCAACATCTCCTCGATTTGAGAATCTTAAGAAAAGACACACACACAAAATGAGCTTAGAATTGTCCTTTCCAGTGAGCTACTACGGTCATGAGAACTATATGGGAAGTCCAGGGCTGAAGCCCATCACTCATGTGACACCAGCCTTGGGGTAAAGCTCTCTGTTCCTTCACTATCTTTTCCTCTCCTACAGTTGCTATGCATGTGAACCCAGGTTGCCGCAAGGGAGAGAGCTTTGCACCCAGTGGCAGCTACAGGCCCATGAGATATGGGAATGATGAAGAAGGTGCTAGAGTTGGCTGGGCTCAGCTCTGGTCTCTACCATCTAAGTCCCGAGAAAGGACACCATCACTGCTGACAGCCTACCTCTCATACTTAAGACTTCTCTCCCAGTCTTCTAACATCTCTTGTCTGACATCCAAACCTGTCATCTTTCCTCCATGGAGTCTCTATTCTCTTGACCTACTTCACTTTTCCCACAGCCACAGACAATGAACGAGGGGACATGTGAGTGGGAAGCGGTCGCTACAGCCATACTCTTTGTGAGTAGGAGACAGCTCATGCCTAAGGCATCCTCTGTGGATACCCCAGTCTACAGTGCCAGGGAGGGAAAGGGTGCTCAGCCAGGGTCCTGTTAAACACCTGAAGGCACACTCCCTGGTGACAGAAAGGAATGCTAGTACACAAGTGCACACGTGTGTGCAAACACACACACACACACACACACACACACACTCCAGCTGAGAACAGTGCACTTGTAAGCTCTCAGCACCAAGCTAGAAGGAAAACCCTCAAGATTTCTGTACCCATCTGTCCCCATCCTCTTAGACCTGACAGTGGCCCCTGACTTTCCCCTCTTATAGGCCACTGTAGTAAGAAATCACCCTGCTCCAGCAGAGGGCCCAGTGTCCCATTGCAGAAGTGTTCTTCACTCCTACTCACGTGACTTACTTGACTTCCTTGACTGCTGTCAAGACGAGAAAATAGGCAATAGTTAACAGTATCATTGTACCGGCCACCATACCGCTAAAAATGGCAACGCTAATCCTTGTATTCACGTCTAACATCGTTCACACCTGGAAGAGAAGATTGGGCAGCAGAGGTTGGCTTCACTCCCAAATTCAGCAGCCACTTGGCCACTGCTGCCCCATGTCCCAACCCCCAGTGAAGAAGAAAGAACCCAAACATGGATCCTCATGTGTAGAAGTAGAAGGAACTCTGTCCAGGGAGGTTCACATAGATCTCAGCTGGGGAAGAGACTTTATTTGTGGTTGAAAAGGGATTTGAGGTAAGTGGTAGTAGCACATGACTTTAATCCTAGCATTTGGGAGCCAGAGGCAGGCAGATCTCTGTGAGTTTGAGGCCAGCCTGGTCTACAGAGCAAGTTCCAGGACAGGCTCCAAAGCTACACAGATTAACCTTGTCTTGAAAAACAAAAAATAAAACAAAACAACAACAACAACAAAAAGACTTGATTGTAAAATCCAGATATCAGGAAATGAGGATGACAGTAGAAAGTAATTACTGTTCACAGGCAGTGAAGGACCCTTAGCGAATGAGAAACCTGAACTGGAGCTTCCTACAACCTTCCCAGCTGTGCTTACTGAATCAAATTACTCCACCAAGTACACTGGGTAGACCTGTTTCAAAAACCGAGGGAATGACACTTCAAAATGTTAGTGCCCAAAACTGCTGAGAGAAAAAAAAAAAATATTTTGAAAGCAGTGCTTTTTTTTTTATTTTTGAGGGGTGGGAGAACCCCACAAACAAACAATGTAGGTAATGCTATCTCAGGGTTAAAAAGATTCTGAAGGTGTCCAGCCAACCCCTTGCTGAGCCTGAAACAGGCTTGCTCAGACCATGAACCAGCTTGCTCAGGAGTTTCTTGTGCCTCATTCTGTCTTCTAGCAGACTACGCTGTCTCCCTGCTAAACACTTAACCCTCCCACCAAGTACCCTTTTCCTGGACTTAGTCTAATATCTGAAACTGGGGAGTAGCAAACCCAGAGACAACAGAAAACAATCTGACTACAAAGCATACTTACCAAATCAAGGCGTCTAGCACTGAATTAAGGACAATTAATTTAAAGCACACGCACGCACGTGCGTGCACACACGTGTGTGCGCACACACCTCCAAATAGAAGGAAAAGGTTTCTGATATAGGATGCTTCAGGAACCTGCAGTTTCTCAAACCTGATTTGAGAAAAGGATCTAAACAGCTCTATCACAGCAGTTCAGACAAAGACCAACGTACTCCACGGAGGGAGGGATAAGGTCTGCCAGGGCTGCTAGAAGTTACTACCAGCTCCAAGCCGACCTCTGTGACATCAGCTTACAGCCCCCTTCATCACAATTCTGAATTCTGTCCCACATCTAGGCATAGTTTAGCTTCAAGAAATAGAGACTATTTTGTATCATTTAAAGTCTAATAGTTGAGAGACTGCTGATCAAAAACTGGTCAACTGTTTCAATTAATTAAACAGAATGATAGATGGAGATTTTAAACACCCTGGATATTATAAGCTCCAGGTGTTTGGCTGTGTTCAGTTGTACAGTGAAATGATGTGAAGCTGTTCACTAGGATTCAAGCACACTCTCAGCAACACTGGCAGCATCTCACACCTCATGGTTAAATAACTGCAAAACAAGGAAGTTAAAGAGAATCCCTATTTTAGTAAGGTTTCTATTGTATGATATTTTTCTTGTCAGTTTTTTTCAGGCTCCATCTTTTTATAGTTTAAAATATAAAATAACCTAAGAGAAAAATCCATCCCTCCTACTGAGATTACTCTTGTTTGAGGCTTTGTTCAGAAGTCAGATTTCTTACCAGGAACAGAAGTAATTCTCTGATGAGCAAGTTCAGTTTTCAGTTGAATCAAGTTACCTGAGTCCCTTGCTTTTGAGCCTAAGGTTACACCTGTCACCTAAGATCATAGATATCCAAGTATTCATCTCAATTGGAAGTAAAAAAATTATATGCACTTTAAGAAATATATATATATATATAATTTTAAAATTGTATTTCAAAATCCAAGACCATGTCTGAGACTCAAGGCAACCTTTTAATTTTCTTTTTTTCTCTTTTATATTACTTCAAAAATACCAATCCAAATTCCCATTCCCTCCCCTCCTCCCACTCCCTTCACACTCCTCCACACACCCTCCCACACCACCCCCTTCCAGTCCTAAGAGAGGGCCATCCACCCCGCCCTGTGGAAAGTCCTAGGCCCACCCTACTATATCTAGGTTGAGCAAGGTTTACATCCAAAGATAATAGGATCCCAAGAAACCAGAACATGTTGTAGAGACAAATCCCAGTGTCACTATCAGTGGCCCCCAGTCTGCCCCAACTGTCAACCCCCTTCAGAGTTGACTCCCAGTCCAGTTGGAATTGGTGAGCTACTATTAGCTCAAGCAAACTGTCTCAGTGGATGAACCCCTCATGATCTTGAATTCCTTGCTCATATTCTCACTCCTATTTTCCCATCAGATTTTATTGATGGGATTTGATTGATTAAAGTTTTATTGCTTTATTCTTTTCAGTAAATATTTGCTGAATTATTACTGTGTGACTAGTACCTCAGCTAACTAGAGATGTTCTATGGTCTACTCCACTAAGGAAGAACAGAATCTCGTGGTGATTATGTGCCTATGATTGTAACACAATGACAATGGTGAACATAGGCAGCCAATGCTCAAAAAGCAGCACGAGTTCTCAGCCTATAGAAGGGTTGAAGACAGCCAGGTGAGTATTCTGGCCCAAACAAAACCAAACACAAACAAAAAGACATTTAAATGATCTACTACTAAAGGTACCTTTCGATTATTTTATATGTATGATCATATTGCCTTTATGTATGTATATATATGCACCCCATGCATCTCTGGAGACCAGAAGAAACATTTGATCCCCTGGAAGTGGGTCTTAAAATAGGAAAGTGACAGAAGGAGAATTCAGTGGGCATGTGGGGTCTCTCTTTATGTTGTAACTCCTCCGCTACAAGTACAAAATCTGTCTCTGAGGTCACTCACATGTTCAGGGATAGCATCTGTCTACGTTTAACTTTTCTAACTTTTCTTTATCGAGAGCACAATGTTTGTGGTGTTTGGCTTCTTGAGATCTTTGGGTCACTTGTCGCTGTGCTGCCTAGTTTTATGTTAACTCGATATAAGAGTCATTTTGGAAGAGGGGATATGAATCGAGAAATGCTGTACTAAGCTGTCCTATGGACCAGCCTGCCTTGCATTTTCCTGATTGATATTTGGTGTGGGAGGGCCCAGTTTGCTGTGGGTGGTGCCACCACGGGCTGGTAGTAGTGGATGCTGTAGGATCTCAGGCTGGGCAAAGCTGGAGAAAAAAGTCAGTAAGCAGAAATCCTCAGTGGTTCCTGAATCAACTCCTGCCTCAAGGTTCCTGCTCTGTTGGAGTTCCTGCTCTGAATTGGCTCAGGGATGGACTATGATATGGAAGTGTAGGTTGAAATAAATACTTTCCTTCCAAATTGGTTTTGGCCATGGTGTTTGACAACAGCATTGGAACTAAAGTAGGATATTTAAAGTCTGGTATTTTAAATCATGGGTTATAGACTAGGCCTTATAGACTCAGATGATGCTCAGTCTCTAGGTACTGGTAGCCACCTGGTAAGCTTCCCACTGGTTCATCTTAATTCCTACCAACTTTAACCACCTGCCATTTATCACTCATGCCCTTTCCAAGGAGCCAGAGAGTACTGCAGAGTCTACATCTCAGACTGAATTGTCACCATGTGGAGCACTGCAGGAGTCTGACCCAAAGCTTTTCCTCTATATCTAAGGGATTCTGGAGCCAGATCTCTGAGCATAGTACTCTGGCATTTTCTGTGGTTCTAGCAGTAAGGTGGGTAAGGGAGTACTGGCAGTTACTGACTAAAAAGCGATCCTTTAAAAAAGGCTTTCTCCAGACAAGTGTCAAAAAAGAAAAACTTCCATCAGGATCGATGACCTGAATGAATGGAGACCCCAGGATTCCTCTCTGCCTTAACAGAAAATCTGTAGAATAATGAGTACACTGTTTTAATTCTCTGCCCCTGATTTTGGTCAAATCCCTTTCTCTGTTAGGGATGCTGCAAGGCTCCCTTTCATATTCTCTTCCATTTTCTGGTACTAGTATTATAATGCAAATTTTCCAATGCTTTCTTTGTATTAGAAATGTTCCAGTTCTTTTCAGTTCAACTCACAGTGCCCAGGGAGCATGGAACTTCCCAACACAGTCATCCAAAATGCCATTGGCTTTCTTGCCTTCTGATCTACTTTTAAAAACTTCCTTTATTTCTTCACAGTTTAAACTAACATATTTTTTCTGACATTATCTGCCAAATTTCCAACTGTCCCAAGAGCATCCCCCAGAATTTCTGACAGTCCACTGATTGAGATGGTTTCACCACTCCTGGTGTTCACAACACAATAGATAAAGTACCAAAGTGTGCATGCCTTTAGCAAATTACAATTTATTTCAGACATCTCTGACATCTGAGAAGAACTTCCCTCCAGTTCTTAGGGCACAGACAGAATACAGCCAGGTTCTTCATTAAAAAATACAATGTGAATGACTTTTAGCTCAGTTCCTAATCGAATTCCTACTGCTCCCCACACCTTGTCAATGTCTCCATTTGTCTCAGCAACCTGGTCTTCCAAATTCCCACTAAAATTGTCTATTAATGTCTGCATATAGTGGTTCTTTAACCTACAGCTCCAGACTCTTCCACGTTTCTCTATAAAAGCAGTTCCAAAAGCTTAAGAGGTTCAAGGTCAGGTTTATTAGAGCAGTGACACCACTCATGATGCATTTATTCTATTGCATTTGACATTGCTGTCACAAATACCTGATAAAGATAACATAAAGAAAGGCTTATTTGGCTCACAGTTTGTGAGTATAGTCAATCATGACCCAGAAGGTAGCCTACTGAAAATGATTTTAAGTTTGACAATGAGACTATGAGGCAGTTATTCACATTATACTTGCAGTCAGTAAGAAAAAAGATGAATGTTTATTCTTTCTTGTTTTTTTTCACTTATTCCTTTTCCATTTTTTTCTGCCTGAGATCCTAGCCCATGGGTATTACCAACTACATTCAGAGAGGGACTTTTCACCCTAATTAAACACCTCTGGAAGTTAGGTGGCAGCATATGTCAAATCCCAGCACATGAGAGGAAGAGGCTGAGGCAGGTGGACTTCTGTGAGTCCAACAAAATTCTGATGTACATAATGTGTTTTATGTCATCCAGAGATATGTTGTAAGATCCCATTTAAAGAAAAAAACCTCTAAAAAAATCACAATAAAACTCTCTGAAAGCCCTCTTATAGCTATACACAGAAGTCTGCCTCCTAACTGATTCTAAATCCAATCAAGCTGACAATCTTAACTATTATAACCAGAGAAGCCACAAAACATCTATTGACTTATTTTGGATTATAAAAAAACATGTAATATGTGCTCCCAGACTGCAGTAGAAGTCTACTGGAAATCAACAATATAAGAAAAGATTTTTTTAAAAAAAGATGAAGAAAAGGTGAAGACTAAGCAATATGCATTTAAGGAATATAGGTTTCAATGAAAAAGAGGTAGAGAAATTAAAATGTTTTGAGTTAAATTAAAAAATCAAAACAAAATATGTTGAATGCAATAGCAGCAGTAGTTTGAGGGAAAACTACAGCATTCATGTGTGATTTAGTAAAGCAGAAAGACTTAAATTAGTATTGAAAACAACTGCATGAAGCTAGAAAAAGAAGACAAATAGAATTCAAACTATGTAGAAGAAAAATAAACATTTTTTAAAAATCAGTGAAGCAGAAAATGAATAGAGAAAATTCAACAAGCCCCATGTTGGTTCTTTGACAAGACAAATATAACTAATAATCCTCTGGCCATGCTAGCTAAAAAAAAAAAAAAAAACAACAAGAGTACAAATGTAACGTTTTGGATACCAGGATGCTTTATATTCAAGACTATTATATGTCATAAATTACATTGTTTTTACTATATGAAAGTTTCTGATATTACAGAAAACAGAATGGCTTAACTGAAGAGCTAATATTTTCCCACCACCATTTTCCAGCACTTAAGCATCATGCTAGCACATCTTTGGTTGCACTGTGTTAGAATGCTGGACTTTCAAAATGCCCGATTGAATTGCTCACTTCAGTTTCTTAAATCATTCAAAGCATTTTGGCTTGAGATTAGAACAGAATTTCCAACAATCTCTGGAGTAGCTCTCCACATGCTTCTGCATTTTGCATTGCATATGTATGTTGATACTACTCTCAATATTGGGCAATCATAAAATCAAAATTTTAATCAACTTTGAAAATCTGTGGAGATCCTCTGTGTTCTGAAAGACCAAGTATTCAGGCTGGTCTTAATTCTTTAGGCGAAAATAAATATATCATTTCATCAAAATGCAAGTTTGTGTTCATCTTTAATAAGTGGCTTTATGTATATGTATACATACTAATTATTTAAAAATACGCTTATTTATAATTTATTGTCAATAAATATTTATTGTATACATATTTTATATACCTAGCTATGTATGGTTGTAAAAAATTAATTTGATGAAAAGGAGTAATAAATGTGAACGTTTAAGAAGCCCAGCCCAACCCCACCTGTACTCTGTCGCTATGTTAAATTAGAGCATTCAAAATGCCAGAGCATTTTCAAGTTATAGATTTATGTTTAGTAGGTTTATCTGATATAAAATTATTATAAGTCAAGAACTACCCAGAGATAAAAGAATACTAGGAGCCACTCTTTGACCACAGAAATTTTAACTTCAGTGAACTGGGTCAAACTCCTGAAAGACTTGATTTATCAGAATTTACATGTATAGAAATAGATAATCTGAATAGATTTATAACTATTTAAAATGAATAAATAAGTGATAATTTTTTAAAGAGGTTATACATGACCATCTGGGTTTCCTGGTGAACTATATACAAAGTATCAGAGAACGTAATTCCCTTTTTAACTAAGTCTATGAACTCATGGTACCATAACACCCAAAGAAGACACCTCAAAAAAAAATAAAACAGACTAATATCGTTCTTGAGTATTGTTGTCCAAATCAAATCTCTAACAGATGCAAACAAATTTATACCATGAGTACATAAGGAGAATCCCACACCATAAGCAAGCAGCATTAATGGCAGGTATGCAAGACTACTCCAGCATTTGAAAATCAAGTTATCTAAGCCTTCGACAGGCCAAATGAGAAGAACATTATGATCTTTTTGATAAATGCTGAAAATCATCTGTCAAAACTCAAACTAAAAATTGTCAAATCTCAACATGATAAAAAAGATCTAATTACAGAAGATTCCAGTAAGTTTAGTTTTGCAGAAAGCCAAGATCAAGTTGATTGGGATTGATTTTCTGCTAGAACACATACTTGAAATAGAGGTTTACATCTATTTCTTGATAAAGAACATAGAGATTCCAAGTCTAACATGATATAATATTATACTTAAAGATAAGTATAATGATGCAAAAAGAAAGATTGTCTATACTTATGAATTCACAGCATTGGAAAAGGAAGAGTAAGGAAGGTTGGCTGTAGATTATTACAGCTATAAAAGAGGTCAATGAGGCAAGTATTATGGGGAGCCAGAAGCTTGCAACTGAAAGCTGATGCCAGTGGAAAACTGTCAAGAATGGTACCCTTCTAAATTAATAAATGGTGATGAGGATGCAGGTTTTGTAAGCAGAGAGA